ATCATCTTTGACTGCATTTCGTCATGCAGCGAATTCATCTTCGAAGGATTGTATGTCAGTCACCCGTTTATTGATAGTTGCGATATCATCATCAAGCATTCATCGTCTTCACCATCCCCATCGTCATCGTCACCATCTTTTCATTTTCGTTTCCATCGATAGACAGATAAGATACACCTTAAGTACAACCCCTCTGTCCAATGCGTCAAGATTAGGAGAGAACCATTTATCTATCATTCTTTCATTCGTTCTTTCATTTATTCATTAATTCAATTATTCATTCGTTCGTTCATTCATTCAGTCATTCGTTCATTTAATTCTTCATTTGTTCGTTCGTTCGTTCGTTCGTTCATTCATTCATTCATTCATTCGTTCGTTCGTTCGTTCGTTCGTTCGTTCATTCATTCATTCATTCATTCATTCATTCATTCTTTTTTTTTTATTTGCTTACATTCTTTCAGTCATTCAATTTATTTTTCAGCCAACGCCCATAACATAATCATCGTTTTATTACAAAAGCCAGGAAAGAGGATGGAGGAAGGAGTTCCTCTACTTCAATAACTCTTTTACGAGCATCTTTATAGACAGCATCAAACGCGGCTAACAAGGTTTTCTCATGCTTTTTTCGTTTTGTATCCATTCATTCATTCATTCATTCATTCATTCATTTGTTCGTTCGTTCGTTCGTTCGTTCGTTCGTTCATTAATTAATTAATTCATTCGTTCTTTCATTTATTCACTCATTCGCTCACTCATTCATTTATCCAACCGTCTAGCTACCCATATACCTATCTGTTAATATTAAACTTAAGTAAAATAATTTCTTCTTTCTTCTTTATCTTCCGTCATTCCAGTTTTTTGCATTGGATTCCAAATTTTTAAGCAGCACCACAATCATCACAAGCGCGCCTGCCTAGAGTCACTAGAAGAATACACTTGAAAAAAAAATCACAGCAACGTTTGAAACGTTTCATTGTTGTCTGATATAGTGTTAGAAATAAATTTTCGTGTGAAAGAAAAGTTAGAAAGGTCTGGCAGAGGCATAAATCTTTATGAAGGCCAGAACACGGGGGATTAATAATGGCTGGTGTGATGTTAGCCGGTGTGTAGTTGTTGGACAGTTCGTTGTTGGTCATTCATTGTTGTTCTGTATTATTTTTGATCGGTTGGTCAAGTATGTTGTTGTTGCTTGTTCACAAGTTGTTGGTCTGTATGCTCTCGTTGTTAGCTGGTTAGTATGTTGTTTTTATTGTATTGTAAGTTGTGTTGTTAGTGTATTGTTGTTCATTTGTTGCTGGTCAGTGCTTGCTGTTGTTCATTTGTTGCTGGTCAATCGAAAAGAACACAGTGGCCTAGATACATCTGCAACATGATCGTTTGAATAGTCAGCAGCTACAGAAGCCAATAAATCATTCGACCCATCATTATAATCAATAATAATAACATTGCAATCGTCGTCGTCGCTCGGTTTGTTGCCATCATCGCCATAGTCATCGTCCTCATCAACTACTTTTTTGTGTATGTTAATATGACGTCGTTGTTATTAAAAACTAATTTCAATCAATAATAAGGGTTGATATAAACATATCAGTTGTTTATCACATGCACACACACATATACAAACACACACGCATATACATACAAACACAACAACAAGCAAACACACACATACACACAACACAGATTTAGAGATACACAACACATACACACAACTATATTAACAGAAATAACAGCAACTATAGAACTATAGCAACTACAATAGCAACTACAACAACAACAACAACAACAATAACAACAACAACACTATTAATGATAATATTTTGAACAACAAAAAATAATAATTATAGAGCGTTATGTAATAAAGGATGTACGTAGAAGGATGTAGTTAGGCGGGAAGACAGCATGAAATAATATGGCGCGAAACCTTATAAGAAGTACCTAGCGACAAGTTTTTCTCATCCACCGCTCTTATTTATAAAGATCTCTCAAACGCAATTTTATGCGTCGTCGTTGTTGTTGTTGATGATGTTATTGTTGTTGATGATGTTGTTGTTGTTGATGATGTTGTTGTTGTTGATGATGTTGCTGTTGTTCTTGATATTGTTGTTGTTGTTGTTGTTGTCGGGTAGTGGTGAGAATGGTGACGTCACAATACTTTTTGCGATTGCACAAAAAATGAAAGTTACAGAAAAATAGCGTTGCAGTAAAAGAAAAATTAACATAAAATTAACATAAAATTAACATAAAGAATGATTAGACGACGACGACAACAACAACAACGACAGCAAGGATGAAAAAAAGAAAGCAATAGCCACAACACGGCAAACAGCTTAAGTTATAATCCAAACCAATTCATCGCATACATTCGTAGCTGCTGCAAACTATCTACCCAACTGGAAAAGTTTCCTTAAGGCAGAGTGCGTGTTATATTTGCTCGAGGCTGTTTGTGCTTGATGATGAATTTTTAATTAAATAAGAATCAGTGTATGGTTGTTATGCGAATGTATGTGTATCTGTACGTGTGAATGTGTGTATGTACGTGTGAATGTGCGTGTATGTTTGTATTGTAATAATTGTTATGGTTTGCTACAGAAAATTAATCATGTTATTTGGTAGTTGAATAGAATTTTCTGAGCTATTTTAAAATAACGTGTTGAAGTTGGTGAAGTATGAAAATTTAACAACTACGATTATCTCTTTTTTATCTGAGTTATTTCAAATTTAGAAAGACCCGTGGACAGCCGGCAAACGCTAATCCACAATAAATGAAGCGTCGCATCCAATGACCAATGCCTATAGATTTGAGAGGGATTATTTCCTGAAAACAGCAATATGCATCAAACTTATCCTATAGCAATTCATCAAACTTATCTCCAAGCATTTAAAAGTCTTTTGAAGTTAAAATTTCATTCCTGGCTGGCAATATTTCTGGCTCAAGTAAGACTTTTTCTTTTGATCGCCATCCCTTGATTCATTATAAAAAATTGAAACGTGGGAGGAAAATATTGTTGAGTGTTGTTTGAAAGTTGAGTGGCTGCAGAGAAATTATGAAATGGTTTAAACCTGTTATTGTGGAGGTCAAAAGTTAGTTGACTCGTCTGTTGGGCTATGCATGTGTTTGAAGTTTTGCCAGTGCTAAAAATAATTGTAATAAAACAAATTATTCTTAAGGTGATAATATGAGTTAAGTGTTAATAAAAATATACTTAGATATACAAGTAGACAAATTTAAGTAATAGTAGTTGTAGTAGAAATAGAAGTGGCAGTCATAGTATTAGTAGTAGTAGTATTAGTAGTAATAGTAGTAGTAGTATAAATAGTGAAAGTAGCATTAAAAGTAGTAGTAGTAGTGGTAGTAGTAGTAGTAGTAGTAGTAGTAGCAGTAGTAGTTGTTGTAGAGTTAGAAGTAGAAGTGTAGTAGTAGTGTAGTGTAGTAGTAGTAGTACTAGACTAGTAGTAGTAGTAGTAGTAGTAGTGTAGTAGTAGTAGTAGTAGTAGTAGTAGTAGTAGTAGTAGTAGTAGTAGTAGTAGTAGTAGTAGTAGTAGTAGTAGTGTTAATAATATATATGTGATTTATTTTGTTTGCTGAATCGCGTTACGACCACGTTGGCAAAAA